CTGTCTTCAGTGTGTTCACTATTATTATCGTTACCCATGGGGGGAGACTGTTTTAAATCCTTGGAGATAAAATGGAAAGGAAAATTCGTGGTATGCTTATCAGGTTGAATCTTTTTTGTCATTGAGAAAAATCTTGACTTTTTTTTTTTATTTCGTCTTTAAGTGCATTCCTTAAATTCAGTCAATTATTTATTGAACCTTTTTTTATTTTCTGTGTATAGGAAAAAAAAACATTATTATGAATTAATATTATTATTACTATTATTATAAATATATTTATAGTAATGTTTTATTTAATTAGGAGGTAAAATAATAATTGAGAGATATTTTAATTTTTTTTTTTTTGTTAAAATTTTTTTATTATTAGGTTATGAAAATTTTGTTTCTTTTTGAAAATTAGAAAAGTTGAATTATTTTTTTTTGCGCTGATAGTTTTTAAAAAATATTTTTAAATCGAAAGGGTCGTGTCTTCTCTTTTAAAAAGTTTCGAGAGAGGCTGTATAGGGTCTGGACCGTTTCAAATCCAGTTCCTGGCCATCATTTATTCGTCCTCGCCTCTTCTTTTCTCGGATCCCTCGATTATATAGTGAAGGGCCTATCCTTTCGCCTGACCACAAAGACTCGTTTTTTGTCCTTATAGTTTGAAAAAATAAAAAAATAAACATTGAGAATTTCGGATCCTCTCTTTTTGACGTTTATACGTATCCAAAATGAAAGGAACTAGTCTACTATTTTATTCTTTAGCAAGTATATAGTTATTGATCCTCTTATATATATATATATATATATATATATATATATATATATATATATATATATATATATATATATATATATATATATATATATATATATACATATAGAGGGAAAAACTCAAATTTTGTCCCTTTTCCTTTTTGTCTTTTATTTATCACCACCCAGTTCTTTTTTCTCTTTCTCGTTTTAAGAATTCCATAAAATATCTAACTTATTGACTTTTTAGACTATAAAAAAAATATATATATGTATAAGATTTGAAATTTATTTTTAAATTCCCTCCCGTTCAAAGGGAAATGAAAATTTATTTTATGGTTTCCTGTAGATATATATGGAATGAATTCTTATGGGGAAATAATTCGATTTTTTTGAATTCTATTTTAGGAGGTATTATTATTATTATTATTTTTGAGGTATTGGAAAATTTTCATTTATATTTTGAAAAAAAATATCATTGATTCAAGAAAATCATTTACTTGTCGCGTATATTTGATTAACTAATTTTTTTAATTCAAGAAAATTTATTTCAAACACGGAAAAAAATCTTTACCTCACAAAAAATTAAAAGGCATTAAAATAAGCTGCAACGCTTATTATTTTAATGTCTTTTAATTTTCTGTGCTGGAACAATTAAGCGATAAGTTTCACTGGAATAGCGATATGTTTCACTAAAACAGGGAAAGTTTTCACTATTTTAGAGAAACATATCGCTGTTTCAGATATAAAGATTTTTTTCACGTGAACTATTAATATAGAATTTTCTTGCATCAAGAAAATATTAAATCAAATACGGACAAGTAAATGGGTTTTCTTGATTCAATACTATTTTTTTCCACTGTATAGGATATCGTTTAGTTAATCATTTATTTTATTTATTATTTATTTATTCAATTTATTAATTTTTTTTATTTATTTATTTTTTTATTCTTTTTTTTTTGAAATAACTAAAAATGACTGTTTTGTGAGTGGATGGAACAAAAAAAAAAAAAAAAGAATATTACACATAGAGGGAACAAAGTAAATTGCAATATGGAGTCCGCGAGTAAAAGCGTGGCGTCCTCCACGGCTGGCTGGCAAGGCTGTTTTGTCGAGCCATATAGGCTCACGGTTGTTATGGCATTAACACGTAAGTGCATAAGTGTGGCTTGTGGTAAAGAGTGAGTGAGAGAGAGAGAGATAGGGCTGCTGGTAGGTTATAGAGTTAGGTTTAGAAGCCGCGAAGGTTGCGGTGGTTGTAAAAGCTACAACTCGAGGTGAATGAACCCTTACAGTATATATATATATATATACATCAACTACTGCACAACTTTTGTTATATTGGTCGACTAAAAACAATCTCATTTTTATAACCTTTTCTCAGCTACCGGATATATGCAAAAGACGCTTTTAAGCTCTTCTCGGATTTTTTTTTTCGTTTCATTCATATATATTTATTTTCCAAAAAAAAATTTTTGTTTCTCATTCATATATTTATTTTTACAAAAAAATTTTCTCCTCATTCATATTTATTTTGGCAAAAATTTTTTCTCTTCATTCATATTTTTTTTGAAAATTTTTTTTTTTGTACCGAAAATCTTTTTTTCTAGTAGAAATTAACAGAATTCACTATATATACTGGCGCAGTAAAATGGTACCAGTACTGCGCCAGTAGTCGATTTTTGATAGGGTTCTTATAACGAAAAAAAAAATTAGTAAAATTTTACTAATTCAAAAGCATAAAGTGAGTCACTATAATTTCACAGAAAATTAAAAGGCATTAAATTAAGCTGCAACGCTTATTATTTTAATCCAATTTTGCTTATTTTAATATCAATATGGATTAAAATAAACAAAATTGGATTAAAATAATAAGCGTTGCAGCTTAATTTAATTCCTTTTAATTTTCTGTGTTAAAATTAATTAAGGTAGGTGGCTAGGTGGCAGCTACTAAACACGTGTTCACATGTGTCTCGGTTGATTTTGTTTAAATAAAACGGTTTAAGTTTGGTCTGTTCTTTTACAACCTTATAGTTATAAACATTATTTTGTGCTGGTTTTTAGTGAAAGTTTTTTATTATCTGCACCATTTGCCTTAACTTGGCTCTCTGATTTGAATTTTTTCTAACCTAACATTGGACTGATATACTTGTGTGAAGTTTTTTGTTTATGTAACTTCAATTGGAACTGTTTTCGCTCAATTTACTTTTTATTTTTATTTGAATGATTATTTGTGTGCAAAAATGGCCTCTAGTGTTGAAAATTGTGCAAAATGTGGTAAAGATATTACACGTGCTATTCCTACTTTGTGTAGGAAGTGTAATCTTCCTTATCATCCCAGCTGTGCGTTACAGCTGTCTACTTTGCCTGATGGGTCGTTCACCAAATGTTGTAAACCTAGGTCATTGTCTCCTTCAAATAATTCTCAATCTTCACAAACCTCTGTTAACTTGGATAGTATTTTGAGAGCTATTAAGGTTTTATCAACAACAGTTTCTGATAATTTTGCCAATATGACTGAAAACATGTCAGATATCAACAAAAAACTCGATGACACACTGTGTAGGCTGAGTAATATGGAAAGCAGAGTTGTTGATTTGACAGAGCGTCTTAATGTTGTCGAAGAGAGACTTGATAAATCTGAGGCAAATGGTTCTACAAATATTGATTCTAATTCAGTAACTAATGTCTGTATAAATGAACTTGTTGATCGAAAGGAAAGAAAGAACAATCTTGTTTTATTTAATCTTCCAGAATTGGACACTTCGTCAAATAATAGTTGTTCTTTGAAATCTGTGGTTACGAATAAATTAAAAAAATTCATTCAAACAGATGATCTTGAAAATATACGCACATTTAGAATTGGTTCTAATGCGCAGGTTTCTCGTAAGCCTCGCCCTGTTAAGATTGTATGTGAGACGGAAGAGAAGGCACAAGTAATTCTAAAAAAATTTGTAAGTGTCAAAAGAGACTCAACACGTTCAAGGGAGTTGGAAGATCTTTGGATGTCGAATGACAGGACGGTTATGCAGAGGGAGGAGATTAAGAGAGTGAGGGAGGAACTAGAGACCCGTCGATTAGACGGAGAAATGAATGTGTCAATGGTCTACCGGCGTGGAATCCCTACCATAATTAAAATCCCCCCTAGAAATCGCACATCCACTCTTACAGTCCAAATAGATGCGTGTAAGGAGAATCTATAGTGATTTCCCCACTTGGTGCCCAAGGTTGTGTCCCTTCCTTGAGATAAACTTATTTTATTTCTATCTATGAAAGTGATTTAAGGAAATACATACAAAACTAAACGTAGACATTGTGATTTAGATAAAATCAGTATTATTGAACAATAACAATTATTTTTGAAATTAATTGATATAATGGTAAAGCAGATTCTATTTATCGAAAATTAATCTTCTCTTTTGATAATAATGTAATTTGATTTATGTTATTCTTTACTGTATAAACTTATAATGAACTTTAGCCATTATAGCGCCTACCTAGATTTAGTTAATATTTTATATTTTGTATTGTTACTTACGTAACTATTAGAATTTAGGAGTACTTTTGTACGAAAGGGCATGTCCCGTTATGTTCTAAATAAATAAAAAATTTTTTTACTAATTCAGATTTAGAGATTTATTTTTATCTTAAAATTTTATAAATTTTTAATATTTTTCAATTATACTACATATATATATATATATATAGGTATAGTGATATATACACCCTGAAATTAATTCTCTGTGTCAGGTTTTATTCATTATGTTTAAAAGGTGTAAAAAAATATATGATGTGAACGTTGAGCACTTTAAGTACATGAGAAAGTATCTTTTAAATTGAAGATGACGAAGCATTACAATGTTGCAGGTGAACATAATATTTCAGCACGATTATATATATGTATATATATATTTGAAAGTTCAAAGTGCGTATTCGATCTCAAGTCGCGGATGCTTTTAATGCATTTTTTTTTTTTTTTGTTCGTTTATATTTAAAAATATATAGTCTTCGTTTGTTTTTTTACGATCTAAGATAGACTTTATTTTAATTGACTTCATATTTTTTTCTAAATATATCATATTTTGATTTATTTATTGTCGCATTTCATTTTTAGTTCAATGCTCGTTATCTTTAAGTAATTTTAATTTTTTTAAACTATTATTAATAATTTATTTATTTCCATAATAATAAATAATAATTATTAATAAGATTTATTATTATTTTTATAATTGAAAATTGAATAATTTGTGATTTTCTTTTTGTTTCAGGTAACAAATTTTACAATATGAAGATATAAAATACACGCGGTGAAAAATATAAAGGTATGACAAACTATTATGAATATATAGTTGGAAAAGTGCGACAACTCTCTCTTTTTCTTTGTCTCTTATATATATATGTATATGTAGCTTTATAAAGGAAACGCCGGGAGAAAATATCTCTGAGAGACTCTCATTTTTCCTCCACCCCCCCCCCCCTCTCTCTCTCTCCTTCTGTCTCTCTCTCGGAAGAGAGAAAATCGCGCGTTACTGCAGTGGGAAGTACTCGTAGAAATTCCTGTACAAAAGTGCAATTCCTGCTAAGTTGGCGCACGATGCTAATGTACTTAGCACTTGGCCGTGGAACATCCTCGAAGGATCCTGACATTAGTGATGTATAACGTAAAGTTGAACATATAAGCAAACTTGTATATATAGCTTCGTAATTGAATACATATATAATATATAAAACGGGGAAAGTGTATTTTAATTTTTAATATTATCTAAAAATTTTTATTTATAAAGTAATTTATTTGTTCTTTATTAGTTTAAATTAAATTTGAACCGATACACTTTTTTTTCTAACTGTTACTTAATTCTTATTTCGAATATTATTTGATTATAGAAAGTTGCTATACGTTTAATTATTTTTTTATCTTTACTCTTTTTTTTTTTTTATTTGAGGAAATAATTTTGAAAGGCATTATTTCGAAAAAAGAAATTTTTGTATTTGGAAAAAATATAGTATATTTTCTAAATTTGAATTAGTTACTTTTAGCTAATTTAACTATGCCGATATTAAATGTATTATTATAACCGTTTTGACTCATTTTTAGTTAAATATGCGACTAATTTTTAATAGAAAATTACTAATTAATTTAGTAAGGCTACTAGTTTAATTAGTAAATATTAATAAATGAATTAGTTGTTTTCTATCATCAATTAGTCACTTTTTATACTCAAATTTAATTAAAAGTAACTAATTTTTAGTAGAAAACTACTAATTTGTTTTGTGAAAAATGACTAATTGTTAGTAGAAAAATACGAATTTATTTATTAAGGCTTCTATTTAAATTAGTAAACTTTAATAAATGAATAAAAATATATATAAATCCGAATTAGTTAAAAATAACTGTTAGTAAAATCTTGATTGACTTTTTAGTAATTAGTAAAAAAATAACTTTTTGTAAAAAGAAGTAACTAAAAGTAATAGTAACTATAATTTTCATTGGAAAAATAACTGTAAAAAATATATTCAAAAACTAATTGAATTAGTTACCAGAAATTTTGGTTAAAATTTTAGTTTTAGTTTAGTTGAAAAATAAATTTAACTAATAATAAGTTATTTTTAATTTAAAAAATCAGCAGAATTAGTAAATTTTTTAGTCTGAATCAGTAAATGACATTTTGCAATGAAATTAATTACTGCAAACTAATTCTAAATTTAATTTAACAATAAGGAAACGGAAGGTGTTCATTTTGACGCAGACAACGCCCTTTTTTGAGGAGAGAAAATTGAGCAAGCAAACGATATAGTAATTTCACAAGACACCAAGTAATTGTGCTCGCGTTAATTGTCCGCCTATATACACACACGTATGTAAACACATATACACTAACACGTGATTACATTCTTAACTTTATAGTGTGGGCTCACCTTGCTTTTGTCGGCGTACCAATAAATATATATATATATATACTTTATACTTATAATACAGAGAGTGCATCGTATTTCATCTATAATGTGTATATATACATATAGTTATATTTATTTCAATGTATCGCTAGGAATACAATACACCAATACAAATATCGTTTCAAGACACAAACAGAGCGGAACTTTGCTGCCGGCGGCCTGTTTCGTATCGCAATAACGCACGTCCTTCCCATCGTGTAACTCAAGATTCGTGTAATCCACTCCCATCCCAGATTTCAACACTATATAAAATTAATACATTTTATTTTTTCTTCAATTTACATTACAACTTTCACAATTTATTATTTATCATATGTAGATATCAAAATTGTACTTTTTATCCACGTGAAAAATTTTTTTATTTATTTGTTTTGAAAAATTTCGGTTAATATTGTAAGTAAGAATTTTTGATACAGATTCCTGCATCGACATTTTACCGACACTTGAAAAATAATGGTTCTTATGCTAAATGTCGATAACATGTCGGTGCAGGAATCTGTAATATATCTATATATCATAATAGAATAAAAAATAAATTCATGAAAAAGATTTTTTTTAAAAAAAGGCGAACTTTGAAATTGGAACTATAAATCTTAAATTTCTCGCGAGATTATTGGGTGGTTACGAAGCAATTATATATTTAAACGGGCAAACGAATAAATATGGGACTTGTTTTGAATGATTATACTCTCACGGTTTTATATACGTGAGGTCCAATTTTTTTTTCTTTTTTTTAAATAAAGCCGCGCCATCAGTGACCGGAAGAGGAGTGGAGAATCAGCGGAAACTTCCCGTTATAGTCGCTCAACATACGTGATTCATTGTAGATGGGAGATTCTTGAAATTGAGTAAATAATATGAGGCGCAGTGAATATATATATATATATATACGCACTTGCTTGCAGCTGTGGTATACTTTCGCCAAATTATATAGAGATTCGAATATATACACTCGCGGAAAACAATAAAAGTTGCCGGAGTACTTGGCAAAAAAAAAAATAATAAAGAAATTCATGTCCACCTTGGTTAACTTCCTGGTGCCAGGATAAAAATATCGTATTTTGTTTTATATATATATTTTTGTAAAAAAAAGTACTTCCGAGAAAACGCCATGGAAAAATTAGAAAAATATTTATAACGAAATAGCATAAATATAAGAAAAAGTAAATATTATTCGATCGTAAAATTGTGATATAAAATGTTTCTATTTGATATGGATAAAAGAAATTACGAAATTGTGTTATTTGCGAAAATTAGTTTGAGGTTATGTCAGTGGATTGAACGTCGTTAATCGTTCTAAATTGTAATTTAAATAATTTGATATAGCAAAAAGTCAATTACTGATTTAAATAGCAAATTTTTCTTTTAGGTTATGTTTTTTTTAAGTAACTAACTACAAATTTATTTTTAGGTTATGCTATATTAAAATAACAAATAGTAACTAATTCAATTAGTTTTTACTATTTTTAGTTATTTTTCCTAATAATTAGTTTTGTGAATAAAAAAAAAAATAATTAAACGTCCTTGCTATAATGGATATGATGTCTTTTCTATCATCTCAAATGTCTAATGTGAGAGAAAGGCTATTGGTCCAGAAGTCAAATAACTGGTTTTAGATGCCAATCCACCCGCACAGTATTCTCTCTCTCTCTCGTTATATATATTATATATACATATATACTGTACTTGTGGAAAGGCATCTGATTTTATATACTGACACTGCGGATGAAATTCATTCTTGCGTTTCAAGGTCCGTATATTATTTACGGTCCAGATCACCAAAGAAGGAAATTGATATCAGTGGCCACGGACAATAACCTCCCATCGATTTCTCTCTAGGGAATAATATTTTTTTTTTATACATATAAACAATATAATTCCATATTGTTTTATTTTTCGTAAAAAAAAAATCGAATTTTATTTTGATTAGGACTGATATCACTGAAAAAATTTCTGTATTTGAAACAAATGCCATTTAATTGATTCAAATAATAGTTATTTAATATAAATCAATAACTATGCAGTGTTCCTCTTGCGGTGGCGTCTTCAACTAAAATACTCCCCCTAGTGATGGCGTCCTCAACTAAAGTACTCCCCCTAGTGATTGCGTCCTCAACTAAAATATTCCCCCTAGTGATAGCGTCCTCAACTAAAATACTCCCCCTAGTGATGGCGTCCTCAACTAAAATACTCCCCCTAGTGATGGCGTCCTCAACTAAAACACTCCCACTAGTGATGGCGTCCTCAACTAAAATACTCCCCCTAGTGATGACGTCCCCAACTAAAGCGCTAAAAATTTAGAAATTAAAACAAAAAATTATTAGTAACGTAAAAATAATAATTATTTCATACTAAAATAGTTGGAGATTAGTAAAATAAATTTGGTTGTTAATTGTATCGCTCTTTGGAAATATAGGGGAAATATTGAAAATTGAGTTGGCCTTTTTTCAGGAATCGTAAAAATTTATATTTATGAAAGAGGATGTTTTTTTAAAAACACATTTCGTATATATGTAAGGACACGTGCTCACCACATGGCTGAGAATTTGTTTTTTCTTCATCTTCTTCTTCTTCTTTTTTTATAATCTTTTCTTCGAGAGAAGCCGGACTTTGAACACGTGTTCCTTATATACTCTCCGTATGATATTCTAACAAAGGTTTTTAAATACAGAATAAAGAGAACTACTTCCTTGATGCATTAATGCAGTTCACTGAACTCAATATATATATATATATACTGCAAGCACTGTAAAATTTATTCGTCGACAGTAATATTATTAATTTGTTTTCAAAAAAAAAAAATTTCTCACCTTTTTGGAACCTTATAAAGATTAAAGGGAAAAGGGTAGAATTTTAGTATTTTGGTATTGGTACAAAATCTGAATTTCAGAATTGGCAGAGTGATTTTGAATTATAATTATTTTTTTTATTTCTATACAATAGAAAGATTTTTTATTACTGTATGAAAAATATAGTATTTATTTAGTTTTTTTAAAATCATTTTTGGTTATGGTACACTTAGAGATTAAATTTTAAAATAACCAACATCAAAAAGCTTTTTCTCTCTCTTTTTTCTATTTTCAGAGTCTGATGTGATGGACATTTGAAAAAATAAACTCGTAATTTGAAAGCAATTATTCTTATCGTCCTTGTTAAATTTAGACGAGCATTAAAAGTGATTCATGTAAAATGCCTTATAAAATAGCCTCGAAAATAGCTAAAGAAGCAGAATAACTTGTGAACCTGAAAGATAGTGATTTTATCGAAAAAAGAGTTGAGAAGATAAGAAGTGCAATGTTTCTTATCTGAGTGATGCAAAATATATATATACTTTGTACAAGTTGATTTACATGTAAAGGTGTTGTCC